TTGTAATAAATATATATATATGTGCATACATACATATTTTTATATGTATATATATACATAAAATGGTGAAAGTCTGATCACGTCTGTGTTGTGTAACTGGAGAGTGGTGCAGAAAGCCTTCAGCCAGAGCTGACCCGATGTGGCAAATTGCCATAGCACAAACAGCCACTTGTGGGCTGCTCCACTGTGAGATGGCTGGGTCTGGAGGCCATAGACAGTCAAGAGATGAGCTCCTTTGCTCCAGTGCAACTCCATATACTTTGGCTTAACTTTCTTCACAAGTGGAGCAAACACGAATGTGATGTAGGTATTCTTGATGACCTTGCATGAATGCTATGTGCAGGGGAGTAAGGAGCAGGAGAGAGGTCATGGTAAGACCTGCTCACCTGGAATGCTTTACCATAATAGAAAACATATTGCAGTGATACTTTAAATAGCATGTAGCCCCAAATGTAGCATGTAGCGTTTTACCTGTAGCCCCAAATGGTCTAGTAGGTTCATTCAGCATGAACCTACTCTCATGAGACCTCAGCAGCAAATTGTCATCTGCACGAATTGTCCTTGAAGACTTCCAGTTAAGGGAAGCCTAGTCTTTTTATAGACGAATGTAGTGGTTAGTCATCAGACAGTCTAGAAAACTGGGTCAAATAGGTGTTGCATCATATCAGACAGAGGATTTGGTATTAATCAAGGAGTCTCATAGTGAAGTATATATCATAGATATTTGATTACATTAGTGGAGTTATCTTTAATCATTGGGTAGAGTCATATGATGGAACATGATCGAGTCACCACGGCTTAGCGGGGTACCACCCATCTGTTTAAATGTTAGTAAGGATGACTCATGGTGTTAGCACGACCACGTAGAGGAAGAGCCAACGTGGTCAGTTACAGCAACTTGGCTAATGTGGTATTTTACTAAGCCAGAATAACACTATCTATCCAGCCCTTGTATGCCAGAAGGGACGGTGTACAAACACTGACCAAGACCCCATCATATCCAACAGCAGGCTGGAATACAATGAAAATTCCGAAATTTTGGGAAAACACCATGGGTGGCCATATTTTCAGTGAGGTTGAGCACCTGCCAGTTCTCTATCTTATCTGTCCTTTATTTGTGGGCTGTTTGCCCAACAACCCTATTTATTTAGCAGCACAGGTGCCAACGAATGAAAATCCCACAGTCAGCAATATTGACTGACAGGCTGCAGGCAGCACCTCCTCAGCATTTACAAAGAGAGGAGCGGAGTTGATATGTTCAACATCAAAAATAACCATTATAAAGTTTCACTGACTTTCTTTGCTGCTGGTTAGAAAGCAACGGCAAAGGAGATTGTGTTGTCCTTGGAAGAGGAAGAAATGTCTTAGACAAACTGAGTGTCTCAGCCTGTGCCATACGCATGCCCCGAGCCCTGTGAGAGTGAATATGCACAACCACGTGCTAATCAATGACCTGCATTCAATGTAGGAGCAATTCAAGTATCCATGAGTACTGGCCAAAGTCGGTTTCCCCAGTGGGGGGGAATCCCATGAGGATTATGTAGCATTTTTATTGGTGGCAGAAGTGCTGCAGGTTTTTTGAAAAGGAGGATCAGCCTTGAAGCGCAAGGTTTCTCTGACTGCTCTGCATCTCTTTGCAAAAACACACCTGGGAACGGACTAGCAGGAGTGCAGCAAGAAAAAAATACCTCAAGTACTAAGGATTTTTTTCGCTCTAGCTGAGTGTAAAGCATATGGCCTCCCCCAAAACAAAGCAGCGTTAAAGGTAAAACTGGGGACAGCAAGGAAGCTTCTTTGCCATTTTAATAAATACCAGTAATTCCCTTTTGCCCAAGCTGCATATTCCCAAACTCATTAAAGTAATTTTGGAATTTTTTTTGGCTCTGGAACATATAAGCAAAACTCAAACTGTGCAGTCTCTTGAGAATCACTTGCACAAATTGTATAGGTCAGGCCAAAATAAGTTTCTGTCAAACAGCCTAACACCTAAGCTTATTATGAAACTGGTGACTTGTACAAAGGGTCTGTATGTGGGACATCTCAGAATGAATAAAGGTGTGCAGGGGGAGCTGTTGTCATGGTACTTGTTTTACTTTACCACTGAAAACTCAAGTGGTATTTTTGTGGAATGCATTGCTCTGGTTAGCCAGTGCAGTTCCTGTAGACTGTGTCTAAGCCAGTGGACCCAGAGGGCTCTAGAGCTCCAGTGGGCAGGTAGGTGCACACCTCAGTCTTGTTCCAGTACAGGTGTGAGAGTGCACTGGTGCTTTCTCCTTCCATGCTCACTCCTCCTTGCCTGCTCTTTGGGAGGAAAACCTGTGTGCATCCCCAGCAGGGGCTGCAGCACCCTCTGTTCATCCCCAGATGCCCCAGTGTGGGGGTCCCAGCCCTTCTGTCTGGCACATGGACTTTAAAGCACAAGATAGAGAAGACCTGTTTGAACTTGTCTGCTGCTCTGCAGGACAGTAGCGTTGGTGGGGATGGGCCAGTGGGAAGTGGACACTTCCTGTGGGGGTCACCACAGCCACTGGAAACCAAACTGAGATCGTTCACATTCAAACTGGTATCTCCTCACTTTTTTCTTTTCAAAGGAACATGTTTTTCATGCTATTTTGACCTTATCCTAATGATTTGTCAGTTGTCTCATGTGAATGAGTGCTGGTGCGTGGCTGTGTTTAAGTGGACAGTAGAATGGGTCAGGGTCTGTGTACCTTGAGTATATTTTCTGAGCTCATTTTTTCTGCACTGTATCCTTTCCACTTACACCACCTCCACAGCTCCCAAGACTTAGCCTTATGCTGATCTGACCATAGAGTCTCCTATCCCAGAAGCTCATTCATGCTTCCTCACAGTACTTATTGCACTTTCTCACAGGATTACACCATATATCTGGGAGACGTTGTCTTGAGGTTTTTTGGGGTGATATGAAGATGTAAGTACATTCTATTCCTCCATCAACAGATAACCAGGGAGGCATAGGAAGAACTCATTGTTCGTATCTGAGATATGTTTGTTGCTGCTTTGGGATTTCTTTTTTCCCCTTCTGAATAAGTACTGTGTGTGTCTGGGAGGATTTTTAAAACACTCTTCAAAACACAGGCTTTTTCTCTCCATAGAGAACCAAGACAAAAGGACGGGTTCAGTCGTGTGCAGCTGCTAAAGAGAGGGCAGCTGAGGGCAGAGGGGTGGGAGGAGTAGGGTGTCTGAGTATGAAGGAATTGGCAGGGCAAGGATTTTGAGATGGCATTTGTTGGGACAGAAATGTTTCTGGGGCAATGGGTTGAAGAGAAGAGGGTTGAAGGACTGCAAGTCCAAGGATGGGAAATATTGGGGAGTTTTAGGGACAAGTCAATTAGGTTGTTTGAACTTTTGGTAAAAGAGTATGAGACTTGTAGGTCAGAAGAAAATGGTTTTGTCATGAGACAGGTGCCTCCACTTTTCGAGCCTGGATGTGGTGTCCTGCATACTGGATGTCTGTGAATCCCATTGCTCACAGCCTTTGGAGTCTTTGCTTGTCGTTAGATTACTGGAAGTGACCCCTAAAGTTAGAGAAGGGGTGTACATATTCATGATTGCCAGTACCACTTAAAACTGGAGGGCCAAGATGTAAAGCCCTATCATGTGGTGTGACACAGTTCAGACCAAGTGGGATGAACAACTGTCTTCTCCTTTGCAGCTTTAGGGTTATGACTGTTTCCCTGACCATGTCGGCCCAGTTTTGAGGCTTTCATGGCTAGCTGTGGATTCATCACTGAAGCAAAGGATGCTTCTGCCAAGGCTGAAAATCAACTGTGATGGTTAGAGGCTCTAAACATCTTGGACTCTTTCCATGCTCCCCCAATAGAGGCTCTTCAAGCTCCCAGACTATGTTCCCTTCTCTCCAGTCCTTGCTGTACCTTTCAGGGTAGCTCTCCTTCCCAATAAACAGTGTAAACCACGTTATACTGCAGAGCAGTTCTCTGTTCTCTGAGAATTTAACATAACGTACTCATACTAGCAATGTTTGTTGAGGCACTGTATGTGAAAACTTTCTTATTTTCAAGCTTTTTGAAAAGGTAACAAGTTATACTCACCCCAAACTTCAAGCAACTCATACCTTCTTCAAAACTAAAAAAAACCCCAAAACAAGAAATAACTGATTAAGTAACTCCCAAGACCACATTCTTAAAGGCTATTTTTAAAGTGTAGTTTTGTTTAACTCGTTAATTTTATGTTTCTTCTTTGTGAGTGGGCCTGCTTTCTCACATGCACTCTTTTCCCTCTGCTGTACTTAAAAAAATCCTTCTAAATCTTTTGAACCCCATTTGCCAAAATAACTCACTCTGCTTTTTTATGGTCTGTACGTTTTGCTTTTATAAGCTGCTTAATCAGAATGTAATTTTCCTAATTTTCTTTCTAGTTTTTTTTCCATTTTCTGTGTCCTGGTAATGTGCTAAGGGGTAAAATTAGTAACCTCGCTTTAGAACAATAGCTTGGTAGAGTTTCACAAGAGAGAATATCAAGACATGAAATACTCATTTTAGAGTAGTTTATTTACAAAGGTGATAAAATTTAAAAATTGATTTAAGAGTGGATAATTTTCTGTCATAGCCTGCAAAACTATAATCCAGATATTTTTGTTCCTGAGGGCTGAATTTACAGCAGTGCACTGATGTGGTATGCCAGGAAATTTTCCTGCCTTGTTCGTAGAAATCTTTTGCTGGCCACTGTAAGGTGCAGAGGTGCATAGACTGAGACCAGATGACACATTTACACTCATGTTATATCAGATGAACTATACTGGTGCTTTAACTGATAAACAGTAGAAGGAAGGTGATTCATCTGCTTCTTCAAAACTTTATGTTCCACTGATTTATGCAGGAAAGGACAAATCCTGGATTGGTTTATCTGTACCTGCTTGTCTAGAGTTGCCTGTGCCTAGCAATGGCTGGCATGGTAAGGCTTGTTTAGGTCTCCATAGCCCATGACAGCTTTTTTACTTTTCTTTTCTTCTCTTCTAGGCCTGTCCCAGGTTCTCTGTCTTCACTACTGCACCTACACAACCGACAAAGACAGCCTATGCCTGCCTCTATGCCTGGCACCCTGCCCAATCCTACCATGCCAGGATCTTCTGCTGTACTCATGCCTGTAAGTTTTTTGGTTTGGATTCTTTTAGCGGGGGAGGAATGGTTGTTTTGTGCTTGATTCAATCTATGCAGAGGTGAAAGTCTGCATTCTGTAAAAAATCAAAGTGAAATGTGTTAAGGAAGCTGGGCCTTTTTCAGTGCTTCATCTTACACAAGAGTATTTCTGATGCAGTTAACAGCATGCTAATTAGTGTGAGAGTGATTAGAAGCAGTTTACATGAGACTACAATTTCTGATTCTCACACTTGGTCACATAGGTGAGGTCAGCATATCTGCTCTGGAATGAAAAGATTTTTCTGAATTCAGACAAGAATGGAAAAGCCATTTACATAAGTTATATCAGTGAAGTCTAAGTAATCTTTTTGTTTGTGAGAGATTACCACTTAACAAGAAAGAAATGTGATTTACTTTTCTGACCTGTTAACTTGCACTTATTTAGATTTAGGTCATGATCACTGCTCATCTTTCATTCATTTCTGCAGGGATGGGAATATTTCCCATTTTATTATGGGAGCTAAAAGAGTACTTTCCAGTTGTAGCTTCAAATTCTTAAATGATTTTAACAACCTTTTCTTTATAAGAGACTTGGGCAGGTTAGGAGTGGAGATGAGTAACGATGACATGGGGAAGGAGAAGTTTTTGTTTCATTTCACGATATTAGGTTTGGAAGACAACCTGGGAGCAACTGACCAAAGGAGGGAGGAAAGTACTGCTTGTTCTGGATTTGCTGGAGCAAGGGGGGCACTCCACACGAATACAAAGATTCAGATTTGGCTGCTATTTGATCAGTCATTAATAAGTTATTACTTAGTAACTTGTCAATAAGGGTCTCCTGGAGTACTGACCAGGAGAACAACAACAAAAAAATAAGACTTTTTAAAAATAAGATACTGTGGGAAGCTTTTTTCCTGGCATAATTCCCAAGGAACATGAAATGGAGCAAACATCCAGCAATAGTGTAAGTTCAGTGCCTTCAGGCTGCTGCTGAGGAACCCTTTGGGCAACTTTACTTGCAGATGAGCAGGTGTGCTCTGGCTGAGAGCCACAGAGACGTGAGCTCGGAAGTGAGACAGACGCAGTCAATGCTGGCTGCCCCGGCTGCAGCTCCTGCCCCTCCTGAAACGGCTGCAGGGGAGATGGTAGTGGGAGGTGCTCCTACCCCATGGAGAGGAGGTAGGAGCTTTGGCAGTGGCAGCTACGCCCCGCCAGAGAAGCAGTGGGATATTGACATCTCCCCAAGGCCCAACACCCATTCTTGCAGGCATCATGGAAGGTGGGAAACAACCTCACCACAGGGCACAAAAAGTACCCCCCCTGCCTGGAGACCTCAGAAGGATTCAAAAGCTTCTTTGCAAGAGCCAAAGATTTAGGGGACTGGCCCAAAGCACAGCAGGATGCTCAGCTCTGGCTGAAAGCAGCACCATAACCCTGCTTACCAGCTCTGCCAACACCTAGCAGTGTATGGGGCTTGCCTCTTTTTGGGGAACAAACTCCAGGAAATTATTTTAATACAGGACTTAATGCCATTAGATTTTGTTTGAAAAGTGTATCCCTCCCTCTCCACCTAGTGAGATTAGCTTGCAGAAAGGGCTCCGAATAGCCAGGAGGAGTTCTGCTTTGTTTTTTGCTATCTCAGCAGTGCATGAAAGTTTCCCTTACAAGACATATGGAAAACTCTTCTCATCTGAGTAGTCTGAGTGAAGGAAAAAGAGCCAACTTGTTTTCCATATGCTTGAGATTGTAGATTTTTATTTATGCTTTTAACAAGCTAATTTGGGCTGCGCTGGTAGGGGAAGCTACAATTTTATACAGTGATGCTTTTAAAACCACTTAGCTCTGAGTGTTGTTACACTGAGAGGGAGAAAATCATTACAAAAAAGCGCAAACCTGGGTGGCTGCTACATTTGTTTATTAAAGAACCCCTTTCTTTATAATTGGCTGTGAGTTTTCAGGGCCGATTCTGATGAAACACACGCCTGCGTGCATACACACATTCAATTCACGACACAGATTGTTATTTTTTCAGTCATGACTTGAAGAAATAAAGCTGAGTCCATTTAAAAAGAAACCGAGAGTAAATTCTTGCAAATGTCTCCAGATGTTTTCAAATATTTTTTTTCTTTTAAAAGATGGAGCGACAAATGTCAATGAACTCCAACATCATGGGGATGCAGGGGCCAAACCTCAGCAATCCGTGTGCTTCACCTCAAGTTCCCCCAATGCATTCAGAAGCCAAAATGGTAAAAAGACAATTTTTTTAAAATTACTGTATTTTCTCATATTGCTCTTGCATACCAGTTACCCAGACAGTGGGGGATGTAGCCAGACACTGCTTACTTCATTCTTAGTCATACGTTATACTCTTTTTTAATATGCTGCAGTAAATTGCCTTTGTTTGTATGAACTTTCAAGATGTTCCTAGTCCTGAACTCTCAGTGAGAGGCAACTGAAGGGCTGTCTGATCTATGCTGTGTTAAATAGGACTTTTGGTACAGATTAGTAGAATTTAGGCAAGTGGTCTGTCTATTTCTCTAATGGTGTCTGTGCTCCACAACTTGACTTAAAGAAAATTGTCAGTCAATAAAGAGTGCAGTAAAAAGTGTGTGCTGTGGAGGGAGTGTATATAGTCCTCCTTTTTTCCAGATAGGAGCGTGGCGTGTCAGGGTAGTGGCAGTACTAGAGAAGCACACCAAACAATGTGTATAAAACTGGGATCTTTTCTTTTCCTAGAGTGCAACAAGGTAGTTGCCATCAAAAAGAAGTGTCAGAATTTGGACAAATGTAGTTAATTTATACAAAAATGGTTTTTAAAGTTGTTCTACATCTTACAAGTCTTCTCATGCATATGTACTGGAATAGGATTAGTGTGGGTAAACTAAACTACAGGTGGGCAGTTTTCCCAGCTTTTGTGGAGGTGTTCAGCACTGATATCCTTGAAATCAAGTTCATCAATGTAGAAACATTCAGGGGTTTTCAGTTTCAGATCTGCCATTTGCTGGCTAGTGGAAATATGAGGACAGAAGTTTTTAGTTTTAACTCTGCAGGGTTTTTATCCTCTCAGGATATCCCATAGTAGTGGAAAACAAGAGTAACAGAACTTCTTTCAGTGATATTTTGCCCAGTTAACATTGTCATTAGTGAGACAATGAAATCAAACTGACAAAGATTGGGCAACCACAGGTTTTTATATATTCCTACTTTCATGACTGGTACAGCTTTTAAAGTTGTTGTCATTTATCCTGAGGCAAAGAAAAATATCTTCTTGTCTATAAGTATAAATGCATGCAAGAGAGTCTGGGTTAAGAGTAACAACATATACGAGCTTATTCTGCCTCTGTTTTCTTAGATTGGATAGGTCATGCCTTCGTCTCAGTGTTGGTCTGGGTTAGGCTGTTAACCCAGCCTCTGTTAACACTCCATCTAAAACCACACTGCGTAAACATGCAGCCAGTTGGCCAGAAGAAGAACGATAGCCAAAAACACTGGCTCCCCCAGCCAAGGAAAACCTGTGGTCAAGAGTTCTCTCTGCTGTACCACACAGTGACGGTGACATGCCAAATGGCAACAGCATCTGCAGCAGAGCTTGTTAAAAACTTTTTGGAATAGGCAAGTGTTTTTTCAATGCAAGTGTAGCTGAGCCAAGCTAAATACTCCTTGGCTGAATAAATCCAAAACTGGCATCTGTTTTGGGGACTAAAGGTTCTGTAGTTTACTCTCTCCCAGCACCCCCTGCCTCTTTTTTACTGGAAGTGTGAGGCTACTTAAGAACAAGATTAAATTATTGGTGCATATGGTGAGAATTCTGTGCTTTAATAACTGAAACTGTACATTAATATAAATTACTTTTTAGTCTGGGTAGGTAGGTTTTGTCCCTAAATCTAATGTATGAAGGCATGGTTCTTTCAGATAGAAAGTGCTATCCAAAACATGGTATAGTGAACAAGCAGCGCCTTTGCTTCTCAGAGGCTTTCCGCCACTCTTCCAAGGGTGGAAAAAATCTGCACACATTAACTCTTAAGAGTAAGAGGTAAAATTCAGAGCTCTGAGACCCTTCTTATTTTCAAATACAGGTGGTTTTTTTTTTTTTTTAATATCCCATATTTCTATATTCTAGTTTTATAGTTTGTTTCAGTCTGAGCACACATATAATGTAAAAGGCTTCTTCGTTTAGCCACTGCTTTGAGCACTATGAAGCTATTAACAAAACCTAGTGTAAACACAAAGTTGAAAAAAATGTGGGAAATATTTAGAGAAAAATTATTTCTTACATGTAAGTTCATGGATTTTAAATCAGAATCATCTGTATTACAGGCATGTTTGTTCTTATTATTAACTGTTTCACTTTTCTTCATGCTTAAAGCATGAAACTTCACATACTCTGGCAACTTTTTTTAAAAAGTCAGAAGTGAGGGTGCTTAGTACCTTACTGGACTGTGTCCTACATTAGGAAGGAATTTTAGATTTCCCTAGATTCTGCTAATGCTATTTCTGCTGATACATTCAGCACTTCTTATGTTCTCTTTGGCTGGCCCCGCTCTGAGAAGAATGTGTATGTCAAACACTAGATAGAGACATCTAAGATGCTTTCAGCTAGTGACTGAAGTAAATGAAGTCTGGGGAACCTTGAGCCTGATTCATCAGCTGTCCAAATCCATGGGAAATGGATCAGCACCTTTTTAGGGCCTACATGAGAGAATGCAGGATGGGCTCCTTTAAACGTGAGACCCAGATGTGAGACTAAATCCTTCTGGCCTCATGAAAGTATGTACCTGAGCAATGCAAGCATGATTTGGTATGCAGCAGTCATAACACTATTTGGTGACTTAATTTGCTTCCATAAAATGCATATGAATAAATAATACCAGTATGGATGCTGTGTGATGCCAGTTTTTTAAAAGAAAGCAGATAGGCGGCAAAAGATTCCCACCCTTGATTGGTTCATATTTTTTTTGTAGTAGGAAATGCAAGCAAATCTGATAAATGTGTGCATTGTCTCATATACAAGCACATATACACACACATATATACAACATGTGCTGCATTATTCCTGTGATGTTTCTATAATAAGCAATTTATTTATCTATATGTATTTTAATCAGCTTGTATTAGCTGGCATTTATGGAAAGCCACACTCTGCCACCCAAGATACTCATTTTCTGGTTTATTTTTTTTCTGGAGAATGTTCCATCAAGTATTGCAGATGACATCCCAGAACTGATTTAATTTATCACAACAATCTCAGTTTCCCTCGCAGTATGCCTCTCAATTAGGTTATCACCTAATGCTTTAAAACTGTCCTAGTAAATAAATGAGTGAACATCTAAATCAATACTGCTTTCTTCTTAGATTCAGAGCTGAATGGATCAAACCCTTATGCTGCCTACCAAAAACATACATTGATTTTGTGTTAAAATATATTGCATTGGAAAGAGGATGAAACATATAGCTCTTAAGTGTATGTGGCAAAAGTACACAGGGTAGCATGTGTAGTGTATTAACATGTGGTTCAGTAGCCTGAGAGTATTATGAAATTGGAATTGTTGGTGGTGCTTTTGCCTTAATATACTGCTTACATACAGTTCGGTTTTGCAGTTTCAGAGTATTGGAGGTTTTAGAACTCGGAAGTGCAATATTGTGTGGATTACTGGAGTGAAAGATAAATAGTGTGCACTGAACTGTTGGAAACCTGTGTGACAGCAGGTCTTTTCTATGGAGCCGATGCCTTTCTATCTGAATGTTGCAAGGCATTGATCTTTACCTGCAGAAATTTATGACCTCTGAAAGGAGGTGTAAAAAGCAGGCTGGCAATGAACATAATTGAACTTAAAAATACAGTTTTAAATTTGACCTGGTAATTTTTTCTTTTACCCTTTCTGTCTGCCACTTACTGGATATGTAGTTTTATAAAATTTAAATAAAATGTAATATGTATAGCTTGGCTGTGCTTATATTCCTGACAGAATATGTATGGTTCTTTAAAAAAGAAAATATTTCTGCATCAGAAGTGTGTAGGACTCTGGGCTATTTTTTTTGCCTTATATGCATTACTAAGTTGAACAGTAATAATAAAAAAATCAATTTGAAAGTGTCTATCAGATGAAAGAGTGAAAACATAACCAGAAAAGAAAAGTAATAAATCGGTAGTGTGCGTGTTCCCAATTATAACAGTAAAATAACTGAACCTCCTAATTCACCTAAGAATGCCGAACAGCTTTGGCAGAGGAGGAGGAGAGACGTGAAAGAAATTGCATTGAGCCAGTTGTCATCAGCACTGGTTTTTGTTCAACTTAATGAGAGCTAAGGGTCCAAATCCTACTAGTGGCTGTGAAAATCCTGGTCCAAGCATCACTCAGCTCTCCATCTCAGAGGAAAGGCAGGACTGGCTGCGGGGACCTGGGTGCATTTCGTATGGCTTTAAGACAGGCACAGCTTGCTTTCTCCAGGAACACAGTATGTCAGCCAAATGGGAAAGGCTTGGCTATAAAGGTGGAGGGCTTTCATCGGATGCGGATTGGGGTCTGAGTTTGGATGGAGCCTTCTGCTGCTTGTTTTACAAATAGCCTCTGTTTCCATGCTGGTTTACTGTGACTGTGCAACTGGTGTAAAGTGAGAAACAGCTGGAATAAGCTCTTACCTTGGCCCCGCTTTGATATTCAGCTCAGCCATTGCAGCAGCCGTTAGATGTGGAAATGAAGAAAGAGTGCTGCCCTAACAAGCAATGGTGTGCTGGGACAGCTGGTAGCCTTGGGAAGCCCATGCCTCTGGATTCCAGCTCTGGACCCAGGTCTGCAAGGTTTCCATACTGATTTGAGGCAAGAGGTTAACACAGGCAGTCCAGGCAGGATCAAAGCTACTGAAACTCTAGATGTAGCTACTTAACACTTCATGACTGAAGATGCTTGATTAAACAAAATAAACAGTTTAAGGTCTACGTTTTCCTATCAAGCTAGCTGGGAAAGGCGTCGCTTTAATAGAGCAACATGCACAAAGAACAGAAAGAAAAATATTGCATCTCTGCAGAGTTTCAAAAGCAATTGCTTATCTCATCCTTCACAATAAAGCAATGAAAGCAGCGTAAGAGAAAAAAGAATGTGTAAAGCAAAGTCTTCCAAATAAAAAGTGTGATGAAATTTCCTGTATTAGTAACTGAGAAATGTTTTCACAGAATGGACAGTTAAATAGTTAAAAACCACGATGCTTCTGCAACTGTTGACAAAACTCCCTAATCTGAAATTGTATC